CTCTCTCCAGCCTATCTCCACATGCAGCTCAAAAGGATGTAAATACCATCAAAGAGTTCTTCCCTCCGAGAGCTTTGTGCTTCAGGATAGAAGACAGTTTCCCCTTGTGTTTTTATTGATTGGAGTTTAAGGTTGCATTAAACTTAACTTTATGCTGACATTAATTTGAATAGTATATCTAGAGCCCTGTCTTTGATAACCAGAAAAAGCAAATAAAGGAGTTAATAATAAAAGACAGACAGATGATGGAAGGATTTTTTTTTTCAATTTCAAAACTAGCCCCAAAGCTAAACATTTGCATAGCCATTTAGTTTGACTAAAACTTCCTTTAAATGTGTTTCCTTTTCAGCAGGCATATGTGAAAAGTGACCTCTTACCATTTACATATCTACCCAGAAGTCATGTGCTAGGCTTTTGCGTCATGCTGTCAATTATGATAACAGCCACAATGAGAATGGCCTGAGTGTTGATAGCCTGCTTCCTGGCTTTACTGGGAAGCTTGCTGGTCATCCACTTGTGTTCTTTTCCAATTGCTTACTTCTAATGACTGGCTTTTCAATAGTTTCTATGTTTCAAGCTTTGGCTTTGTCGTTTGCCAGGACAAATATTATAAGAGGATTTCACTTCACATCTTAGTTTCTTTAAAAAATAGAAAGAAAGAAAGAAAAGAAAAGAAATCCTACAGAGGCAATTTCCTCAAAAGCTATTTTGTGTAACAAAAATCTTCAGCGTAATGAAAAGTACTTTCAAATTCTACCCAGAAAAGTGTTGAGACTATTTCAGCATAACTAGTCGATAGCTGAACTTGAAATAACAGTGTTGTACAGTCACAGGAGATGTAACTGCTGCCACTCAAGCATAAACAAAACCCACACGGTAAGTGACAAGGCACTCAGCCAACGGCTCTGGTCTCAGATAGCAGATAGTCAGGACTTCACTTTGAGACTGTGAGAACAAGTCTTATTTCTTACAATAAGAGCTTACTTGACTTAACTGTCTCATTTAAGGAAGGCAAAGCAACTTCCTATTCATTCTACCTACAATTCCCAGTCTGTATCCAGAGTCAGGGTGCAATTCAATGGCTGGTTTGTATGGTGTGGTCTCTTATGGCTATACAGGAAGTTCCTTAACCATAGACTCTTAGCTCCAATTTATAATTAATTTTTGTGGTATTGATGATTACTAAAGGTTTCTGCTGGGGTAGCAATGTTTCACCAAACTGTAATTGATGATAAATAAGCTACATTATTTTTTAATTACTAAACTTCCTATGATAGCAATTAGTCCTCAAAATGGTAAACTTTTGAGCCTTAGCACATCAAGAAGGAACTGGTGTTAATTTAACTGACTTTTCTCATAATACCCATTTGCATTAAAATTATTAGACTGGGTTATAAAATAACTTCTATCCCTGCTAAGCAAAAATCTAACATTTTGCTAGATAGTGCCCGTTTACTTTCAAGTAGATAAAATTTAGAAGGTAGGGTTGCTTCAGTGTCAACAGAAAGGAATGTGTGCAGGGAGCATGAGAGGCAGGAAGAAAGGACTTCATTGCTCTGAAAGGGAAGTCAGCGAAGGTGTCCCCAGCATTCTGAAAGTGTTCCAGATCAAGACAAGGCATTTGGCAGCAGAGAGCAGAGCCCCATTTGCTAAAGCAGGATCCCAGAGTTCTTCAAGCCACCGCACCATTTCCCGAGAGAGAAGTTAAAGCAGAGTGAAGCTCCTGCTGAGGTTCTACAATTTCGCCTATGCCAGTGGCCAATGCATTAAGTCAGTCAAGGATCCCAAAGTCAGACCAGGGCCAGGCCTTGAACAACGCCCAAGACTGTGACAGGTGATACAGGCGAGTCCTGATCAGCTACATGAGCTGACTATTGTACTTCGCAGGGAGGACTGGTATTTATGACAAGTCTGCTTTACGTGAACCTTCCTGATTTTCCATAATTAAGTGACTTTATTTTTTAAATTTAAATGCAATGTCATATGTATATTTAGGTGAAATTCCAACATCAGAAAAAAAAAAAACACAACAACTAGTATCTCAAGGCAGTTAGAAACTGGCATTAGTCAGGAATAATAATTGTAAAAAAGGAGTTCACAAATGTGTGACTACTAATAACTGTGTGTAACAAGCAACTCAGCATCAAAGGAGGTGCTTCACTATTCAAGTTTGCCAGTATGGATGAACTTTAATAGGTTACATTTCAATTGAGGAATGTCAGTGTGGTCATGGGTTACAAACAGCTGTAGTGAAAGCCTTTCTGTGGTATCATTTTGTAGGAAGGTTATTAGAAGACAGTCAAAAATATCCAATAATCTTAAATTTATTGTTAACGTAATTTATGTAAGCTATATGAAAGTTCTTTTCTAAGGGGAAAAAATAGCATGCAACAATGCACATCAATACTTCCCATAAGCTGAAAGGATAAATCTTTATAAAGCAACCCACATGAACTGAAGAATGCACCTGGTGACAATATTTATTTTTAAGGGGTCATGTATAGTAAAGGTTATGGGTAATGTTTAAAAACCCCTCCATACTAAAGCCACTGCCTTTCTAATTTTGAATTTCTCCTAGCTAATATAAAATGATTGATCACTTTTATTTCATGTACCCCTTGATTTTCCTTTGCATTCATCATTGAGTGCTTTAAACCAAATGCATTTAGGAGCTGCCCTTAGAAGAGTGGTCTCTTTTAAATCTTCGTAAAGTAATGAGAGGACACAGTAAATCAATCTCATTTCTGCTGGAGGAAGAATAACCTTTACTGAAGTCATTTAAACTATTTCGCTCTCTCCATTCCTGTAGAGTGAATATGCAGCTTCATCTCTACTGTTCTTAATTTGAAAGGATAAAGAGAATAGATTTTAACTGGTGCTCCAGTTAAGTGATATGCTTACATCATACGATATACATTTATGTTGTTTTATTCATGTCTCAAAATCATAGTTCATTATGAATTTGGCAAACTGAGTTCCTTCAAATCAAAATTTCATTACATAGATAAATTATCTATCTGCTCAGTATTTAAAAAATTTAACTGTGGAGTATATGGCTTTTTGCTTCCAAGAATTAATATATACCATATATTCATAAATAGCAAACACATTTGAACTCAGAAAATATATTCACATTGTAAGTGGTCTTTACTCAACACTACCCACTTAAATAGCAAATGTCAGACTTTATAAGAAAGTGTTGTATACATTCCTCAGATTAGAAGATGCCCAGATTTCTGCCCACAGTTGAGGTCCAGGTTTTCACTGTGCCAAGATTTCTTGATGCATCTTTAGACAATGTTAAGAGAGAGGTAAGTTTGGTATGAATGAACTTTTGTGACTGTCATTACAGGAGACCCTGACATTAATCTTAATTGATACAAACTAAAGCTGCCCTGGGCTAGGTTAAGGAAATAGGACAACTGTTTCTCAGTGCATGGGATTGGTTGTAATATTCTAAATGTGTTTGGAGCTAAAGGTTAAATAACAGAGGCATGTTTTTTGAATTAAAAATTAACTGGAAATTAGGGAGGTGTCATAAAGAATAATGGCAAGTCCTGTGACAAAAATATTTCTGAAAAAAAGTATGATTTTTTTTAAAAAAACAAGTTTCCAAAACCTATAAATCCTGCATATGTTTAAAAAACACAATGAACACATACATTTGTTAAATAGAACCATAGTAGTTATAACACATCCATATTATAGCAATTTTAGAGGTGAAAAAAAGCAACATTCCAGAGAATTATGTTGAAGCCATTGGCTGGCAAAGCCACTAATTATTATTTGGTATTTCCATAACTATATACAGATGTCTTCAGTCAGTTCTCTTGTGTTCTGTTTTGTTATTTTAACCTTGCAAAATGTCAAGTATCTTGAATGAGCTATCATCTTTATGGCTTTCTCTGAACTCTGCATGTGGTGACTTCTACTATACACAGTCTATCACCTTGGCCTGAGAAAGGGAAGCCCTGGAGAACAGTAAGCAAAAACCAGATAGGCCATTCTAGAACTGAGTAAGTAGGCACAAGTAACTTCACATGTTTGGTACATATATAAACCTCATATAAACACATAGACAACTTGGTGTTTATTCCCAGCTCTGTCTTATGTACTGTGGTCTACTTTTCTTATGTAATGTTTTACATACTGTTAACTTCAAACTGCTCTGTATCCAAACTTAAGAACAGCAAACATATGCCTCATAAAATACACTTCAATTCTGAAGTGCTTAGAACTATTTCTGTGACCCTATAACTAGAATCATGGGATTTCTACGTTGGTGTTGTGCATACTTTAGACTCGGGCTAATTTGTTTATAAGCCACCATTAATCCTGGCTGTAGTTTTTCACAGTTTGGGTAAACACTTCATTTGCATTAAATTTACAGCATTAATGAGATGTGAAATTTAAAATGCTACTTGAAACATAAATGATGTAAGAAGGCAGAATCACCCCCCCACACACAAAAAAAAGTGTTTTATTGCATCTGAAATCAGTGAAGCAATTTAAATGTATTGGAGTAGGAATAATGTTTCGCCTGTGAGCTCAATGTTAGAGCACATCCTCCTCCTGGACTGAATATAAAGGAGGAGTGAAACATCTGGAGAAAACAAAATTGCTTCAAACACAAACTATGTACTGACTCTAGCTGGCTCTCGAACTGGTTTCCCATGTCAGCGTTTAAAAGCCACATTGGCTAGTGAGTTCTCAATATCCAGTAAGACAGAACAATACAGTCTAGCTGGAACACAACACGTGTCTGTGGGTACTGTCACTGTGTGCTTTGAAGATGGGAGAGGCTGCGAGCCAGTTTCAGAAACTTCAGATAGGTGAGAAGCAGAGGATAAATGAGAAAAAAATTTGGAAAACAAAATGATCAATTTTGGTCTCAGAAGCCCCGTGAGCCCCATCCTGAATCCAGATCTGAGAGGCAACATGGAGAAAAGCGCCGAAGCAAAGCGTGGCTCCCCCATTCCACCTGGGTGACATGTGCCCACCTGTTGCTGATGCAGGAAGGATGGGTCTCTTGGGTTTAGTCCCACATATCGACTGGCTTGAGATGTGCCTGAGGCTGTGTAGGCTGATTAAGGAAGAACAAAAACAAAGATAAAAATTGTGAACTGTCAGAATGAACACCCTGTCCATGTATAAGAAACCCAGAGAAGTGGGAGCTACTACCAAAATGGTGTCTCCATTTCTCTTCTCTTTTGTCCGAGTGAATAGTAAATAACAGAAAAGAAATGGCCATTGAATTCAAATCAACTACTCCCCCCTTAAAAAAAAAAAACCCTATGCAATGAACCATAACCTATGCGTTGGTGTGGGTGTCCTCACTGTGTGCTGTGGTATCCTCACTGTGTGCTGTGGCTGCAGGGACTGCCTAGATGCTGAGACTCGGCTGTACTGAAGACTTTCTTCACAGACACATCTTTCCCCTTCGTCTAATGGAATAATCAAGGATGACTGCCTGCGGTTCTAAATGTGAAAGTGGACGAAGTGACAGGGAATGTGACCACTTTTAATGACAGGGTTAAGCAGACGTGCTTGACGAGTATGAGATGAAAACAAAAATGTTTTACTTAAATGTGTACCCAAACAAATAAAAAAAATAATAAATCCACTAATACTTTTCTTAAAGAGGGGCCCAGTTGCATTACATCACATACAGTGAGTTAGCTCCATCTTCTATCTAATATGAGGAATGTCCCCCAGCTTGGTAGAAACATTTCTGACAAAAACAAAAAAAAACAAAAAAACAAAACCCTTCATTTTCTGTTAGTGTAAAAACAACTATCACTTGCTTGTGATTGGCCAGGGAGGAACTCATGGTACCTATTACATACTTGGTCACCAGGTAGCATAGATGTGGGTGACTGTTCTTTACATTGCTGTGGTCTAGTTTACAACTGCTTTTTGTGCAAGTGTTTTTCTGGTGGGGTGAACTTTCCACAGAAATATTCTCATTTCTAAATCTGCCTTTTACAAGGAAAAGAAGAACCAAGCCTACTCCTCCATCTCTGATTGAACAGAGAAACCGAGTCTGTACCATGTTACACTAGGAAGTCTGAAAAGGGTCAAAATCATTATAATTAATTAGGAATTCAGACACTGGCTTTAAATAGGCTAGCTTTAAAAAAACAACAACAATATATTAATTTTTCATGTTCACTTTAAAAATGCATTATTTAAACTTGGAGACTTTTAGGTCAAGTTTTTAAAACACTGAGGATGCTCACAGGTTATGTTCTAATTCCTGCTAAATAAGGAAAGGGTGGCCATTAGCAGCCAGTATTTTCCACTCATCACTAGGCCTCGAGAATTCAATACACAGGCTGGGAAGTGAGAGAGGAGCACTATATTTTTTTTATGTAGAAGTGGAGAAAGAGCTCGTGAAGCCAACTTTATATAAGCTAGATATTCCTTTAGAATATTTTAGAAATTTTACTAGTCAAATCAGATCTCTTTTGGACAAGTAATTCATTATCAAACAGACTGAAAGCATACGCGTGAAAGGGCTGTGGTTATCTGGACTGGATCCTCCCCTGAATTTGATGCATGGGTGTTAGCATAAAAGTAGGCACCAAAAGTTCCTGGAACTTTGGTTTTGATCATTTATCCTGAGGTAGTTCTTTGACTACCTTTTAAAATCATATTTTTATGTGCTTTTATTTAAACTTTGTCATGGTTCAAAGATGCTGTGATGTTCACTTTAAAAGTATGCATATAGTGTCTTAGTGACTGTAATATGCACAGAAAACAACTAGAAGAAGAGTCTCACCCATTTTTGCATTCAGGGAAGTGCTCACAGTGACTATTTGCCAGTGAGCTAATTACCAAGCATCACTGATTAGTGATGTACATTCCAAGCCTATCTGGACTTACTAGTTTATAGGGCTCATGAATCCTGCTAAATAAATGCTGAGTATTCACTGTGAACTTAAGGTATTGTCCTTTTTTTTTTTCTTGGAAAGTGTCTTTATATGTTTTTAGAAGTAATTAATTAAAAAAAAAGAATGTCTTTCCAATGGCTGCGAGAAAAGAGAGAGAGTAAGAGCCGGTGATATCTCTGATGGTGTAATTCCACAAGGGAGTTTCCAGAGCACAAGGGATTTGTTTGCTCTATGCAAGAAAAACCATCAGAATATAAACCCATCATGGTGATGGCACATGCTGGTGCCTCCCAGATGAAACCTCATCAGTTGTCCATCTGTGCACATCAGCGCCCTTTAGGAAGCTAGTAGTTTGGGTGAAGCCAATTGAAAATGCATTCCTTATCTAATTCTGACGTGCTATATGATGACTTGGCTTACTGGTGTATGCTACATAATGATACTACCTACATATGACATTTACAATGCTATAGCCATGCTAACGAGCATACTATCTGACTATAATGTAATAGCCAAAACAACCGAAAGATTTAAAGAAAAAGTTGTAGATCATGACAGTGTCGGTACCTTACATGTATCTAATCCTATGCTTCACAGTGTCCTTGCCTGCACAGCACAATGTGTGACTGCTTCTCACAATGACATAACCTACAGTGAGGTAAACATGTAATTATCTTGCAGAGGCACTGATTCCATTCGCTTGGGGCAGGGGGTTGATTTCTAGAAATACTTCAATAAGTAATAATTATCTAATCTCTCTTTTGGTGATGTAAAACCTTTGTATACTGTGTTGTGTTATCAGTGTAATTTCAATGTCTACCTTGAACAAGCAGGCATGAGTTATTACTTTTGTTGTGGCTGTTGGCTAAAAAAAAATAAAATAAAAAAATAAAAAATCATGTTTCTCCCTTGTCAAATACGATGCACTAATGGAAATTTGATAAGAGAGAGCATGTGACAGCTGGGCCACATCCATGCCTGCTAGCTCCACTTAAATGAGAAATCTCCATCTGCTCAGGTAGCCGGAAAAGTCCCCGTGTGTTCCACCTTGGATCAGGTATCCAATGGTGCCTTGGATGGACATTTCTCATTTCCTACAGAAATACTTACTGGATGCTGTGGGTGAAGCTGCCTCACCTTCAGGGGATGTAGTGATGGGTTTAGTGTCTGTCATGGTCAGAGTCACAGGTCGCACTGCACTGGGATGGGGAGAGGGTGCCAGGACAGGAGTGAAATGGCCAGGCACTTTCCCTACTACTTGACCACTGCTGTTAGGCTACAAAACAAAAACAGAACGCCGGGTGAAGCAATCCGAAAGGCAGACATCCTGTCTAACAACTCCACTCAGTACGCGCACGTGGGTTCTGCACAGCGTGGAGAGCGGCCGCCGTGCAGGCCCTCTCTCGCCGGCACTGGGAGCCAGTCAACAGTTAGTAGTAAGAAGCAGCAGCAACGGTATCTAAAGGAAGCTTTTGACCATTAATGCGCTTTGCACAGGTGATTTCCTCTTTCCAACACCCCTACATGTTCAGCCGACCTGAGCCTCTCATGTAGTCGGCCAGAAAACCCACATGGACTGAGACTGATGCCTAGCTAAAGCTAAAATGGAATTCCTTTCTGAATTCTCTACAGTAAGAATCCAGCAATCCTACGTTCTGCTCCTTATTCTCAGTTTATTTCTCAGTTCAATATTTTCCTACTAAACAATGGTATCACTGACATAAGGATACAAGAATGTCAAGGATAGGAAACATATCCAACACTGTATAGTTTCCTTCATTCACAGTCAATAATCCATTCTTCTGCATATAAGCTCTAGCTTCCTCTCACACACAGACACACATATCAGGCAATTTAGACTCTAGGGTACCCAGTCTGCTTCCAATCATTTACTAACACAAGCAGATAGAATGAGATTGAGAGCATCTAAGATTTCCGATACACACAGAGTTATAAACTGCAGAAGTCAGACATTATGCTTAGAAATAAAACATCCTCCAAAGAAAAGGACTATGAGGCACCAAAGTGGACGTGAGGAGCATCAGTTGCACACTGCTGTGTGTTACTCTCCGATCACTGTGCATGAGGAGCGGCATAGATGTCTGTGAGAGTTAATGACTAAAACCCCCTGTCCAGTTTCGGAAAAGACGCTATTTCTTGAGTTTTGACCACTCGATAGAGAAATAGTTGCTGTGGTAGAAGGCAAAACCCTAAGGATATACTGTCTGAAGAAAGCCTGGGCTATATTATCCCAGATAAAGAATGCTATTTTTGATTATACTCATGGAACAGTTCTTCACTACATGGCCTTTTATAATAATTTTCTGGGAAGTATTCTCCACAAATATACGGTCTTTATAATTCCAACTTCCCAAAGCAAAGAAATCAATGAAACAATATGTATCTAAATACCCGCCTATAATTTAAACTGGATATTTCTTTAGAGAAAGATAGCTAATAGCACTTAAATATTTTGACTTCGAGGCATGGATTGAGTCTTTGGGTGGGTTACAGAGAGACTACTTCCTCTATTTTATTTTTTAAAACTGACTTTGACTATCCTGGCTATTCATCATGGGTAATTTTAATTAAGTATTTAACTCTATGTCAGGAAAATAAACTGGAGTTTTCCTTGATGGAAACCTATGGGAGAATTATATCTTTAAACCAATTTTATTCAAAATATTCCACTGAATAGCACGACTGTCTCACTATAATTGGTGCAGCAGTAATGGAATTAATCTCCAAATTGCTGTGGGGAGGAGAAGACATTTTAGTTGCTTAAGAATCCAGATCAGCATGGTGCTGACTGAGGCTGGGAAGCAGCAGCCAGGACCAGGACCACAGGGCTTGAGGACCACTACTCACTCCCCTCTCCAGCACTGGAAGACGCAGGGCAACAGTCCTACTCTGAAATGCAAATTAACTGGCTTTGAGTTTGGAATTAAACATCAAAGCAGATATAATGTTCCTTAAAACAAAACAAAACAAAAATTTCTGCCATTCGCTATAAAGACACATTTTTCTTTCTAGGTCAGTGGTAGTTTATTTCTTTAAATAGGCATTATCAACTTCTGGCTATGGGAAAATTGTAAATGACTGCTTTGTGTATGTCTTGGAAAGAAGAAAGCTCTCATTTTCACACTGGTGGTACAATCAATGGCAAAAGTGCTTCTGCATAATGTTCACCAAAACAGTCCATACCTACCTGGAGCAGGAGTCAAATGGTAAGGATCTCAAGGAAATGCTGCCACAGGAGATAAGCTTGTGCAGTGTATACTTTGTCTACAGGAATTGAATGGCTATGAACGGACAGGTGTTCTCCCATTCAAAAGTAGGAAAGGAGACAAAGGAGAGCACCCAAGTCCATGCAGACCCTTCTAAAACACCAGGGCAAAAGGAAGGTTACACTTCAGTTTTCTACCAGTGTAAACAAGTGAAGCTAGGTTCTAAAGCGTCTACCTCTCCAGCTGCTGTGGGATACATAGAAGGGTGTCTTGTGTGAGGATGAACGGCACTGGCAATGCACTATCCTATTTACTACACTCCTCCCAGTATATAAAACTCTGAAATTTTCTTTTTGCTTTTGGCTTTCAACTGAGATGGGAACAGGATGCTGCTCTAGAAGCTGGACATTTACTTTGAAAACATACAGGAAAAACTGTGACAAAAGAGGCAGATTATCACCTAATATGCACTCTTAACTTATAAAGAAATCGAAATATATGTAAAACAAGCACTGAATAATTAAAGAAATGCGTAACACTAAGGGCCTGATTTTAATTTGCATAATTTTCCCCTTAACAGTGCCTAATTAAGACATCAGTTTTAAAAAAAAAATCCAATGGAACTCTAAGATTTTCCACACTGAATTAACGTTAAGGACTTTTAATGGATGTCTTAATTAGACTTTGTTATTCATGGAAATTCTACACAAATTAAAATCAGACCTTGTGTGCACAGTTCCCAGATGAGTCTAGCAAAATACTCTATGGAACAGAGACTTTTGAATCCATACTCTGAGAACAAATTTCATTTCTAAACTGGTACCCTAAGATCTTACTCTTACTTGTCTTTAGTCTCATCATCATTATACCACATGGACATTTTTTTCTAAAGCACAAATAGATGTTTAACTCCCAAATGTTAATACTTAGTTTCATATATTAGTTAGTGAAACTAAAAGCAAAGGTAACTTTCTAAGTCACACAAAGGGTACAGCATGTTATGTTTAAAATAAAACATCCAGAAAGGACCATTCTGCTTCATTTAACAAGTTAACACAAAAGTTGTTTTTCCCCCATGAACTTTATAACTGATACATATACTCATGTACTCTAATTTTAGTACAATTTAACAGTGGTATCATAAAATGTTGTATACATTTCTCAAAGTCTTAAAAAGTTTTTAGAAGTGGACAGGAGTTTTTGAGATAAAACAGCAAAGCCTGATACTAGACCATAAGATCAAAATGACATTAGAGACCTGGATACTATAACTACTGATAGACTCATTATTGGCACAAAGACCATCTACTTGGCTGTGCAAAATCCTCCTGTGAGAAACCCCTATGCCAGAAGAAACCAAGCATCTAGAGTGAGAAATGCACAAGAGTTACTGTACTTATACAACAAATCCCTAAGACCACTGCATGATGTTCAGAGAGACTGAGATAAATGACTATATGATTTATATATATATATATATATATATATATATATATATATATATATAGAGAGAGAGAGAGAGAGAGAGAGAGAGAGAGAGATACATAGATACATACATACATACAGATCGATAGAGACAGAGAGACAGAGACAGAAAGAGCTAGAAATGCCACTCATTATTAAACGTAAGTCATGTCTCTGCAGAATCAAGAGTCATCAAAGGCTGCTGAAAATGTTTACATTACCAAAGCTGATTTTAGTGCCGAATAACTGGCCTATAAATACAGCTGTAAGTTCTTTTGTGGGTGTTTATTTTAGCACATACCTTTCTCCTGCCTGGAATAAGCACTTTGTCTCTTTGTCAAACCAGGTAGTTCAGAGGTGTGAACTTCAGCTTAGAGTTTTTTTGGCAATGAGCATTCTGCATAAACTTTCTTTCAATCAATGGAAATCCAAAAACATTAAACCCAAAACATCTTCACAAATGTATCCCTTTGGGGCAACACACTTCCTACCTGTCATTCAGCCACCTTTAAATAAAAAAAAAAAAATGCATTGAGTCACCAAGAAACTTTCTGAAGACAGATTGGAAGGCTTGATGTTCCAGACATACTTTCTGACTAACCTTGTGCCTTAGAGCTAGGCCTGTCCCACGCCCCTAGGCTCTATGTTTATTTTGTTTTCTCTTATTTTTACCTGGCTGGTTTGAGGACTGGATGGGTCATAAGAAGGGACATAGTTCTTCAGAGTATCCTGAGGATTCAGGTGGGGAGGATATCTGATCGTTGGATGAGAAAAGTAGCTTGATGGGGCTGGAGGAAGGATAGCTTGCGTTGGAAATGGCAACGGTGAGGGTGGAGGTGGAGTTCGAGTGGAGATGACTGCAGAACACAAAAGAAAAACACAAAGACTGGCTGGTCAGCAGACTGTCTTCCTGCTTCATTCACCCAGTGCTAGAAAACGGGAGCCTGCTCATTCACTCGTTCCCATAGTTACATCAACTATCTTCCCCGTTGTTTTCCCGATGCAAGCACCACTAAGGACAGACATACGGACACAACTCCACCCTACATAAAAACCCATCTTCTTGCCAGACCCAAGAACAACTTTTAGAGAAAGTTCTCTTGTACAACTTATGGTAGAACTAGACAAAGTAATTTCTTGAGTAAGTTCCTTTCCATTCAAGATATATTCCTCGATAACAAGTCTTTCTCTCCCTAAATCTGGACCAAGTTACAGCATTAATTAGGAAGAAAAAGAGCCACAATTTTCTACTATAACTCAAAATAGAAATGTAATTCAATTTCAAATAAACCATCTCCCTACACAACCTAGTTGACAGTTGTTTAAAATGAAAAGCCAACAATTAACAGACAAAAATGTCAGGTCATGAATAATGAATGATCTGCTCACTGTGTAAATACTCTTGAACATTAGCACATGGGACTGGACTCTTCCTCCTAATGAAGATGACTCCTTTCAAAACCAAAAGATCTTTAATCTATGGCTATTTTTATTCTGACTCCAGCTGACACTATACTGAAGTTCAAAGGTATTGTCGAGGTAGGATCAAGAATAAAACCCACAAAAATGTTCATTTAAATTTTATATAGGTAAACATATTAATTTACCCACGTATTTTACAATAATATGTTCTAGTGACAGAAAGAGGTACTATATGTGTTGTAGATAATATTCAATGGTAGCTTTGTACAACAGTATGATCATAATGTTTAGTTTTGAAAAATAACTTTTAAATCTTAAATATGGAGAAAGAATATTTTAGCCAATATCTCTCTAAGGTTGCTGGAAATAATTACATAATTACTAATTAAGACAACAATATATAGAAGTAAAGATTAAATCTCCATTGTTTTGATACTTTAATTGAAGTCATATGAAAATACAAAATAGTGATTCATGTTTTAGGAACCAATGTGAAAACTAAGTTCTCTTCATGACTACAAGTGAAGACTGTCTATAATGATCATCTTCAACTTGGTAATTATGGGAAAAAGAGAGAGGGGAGAGGGAGAGAGCTTTAAGAGGCATTGCTATTTTCCTCAAAGAAAGCACTCAGGATATAAAAATTTAGGAACGCATACTGGAGAAGCACAAATTTAGTTTGACAAGTCTAGGAGACTGGTCCTCAGAACCTGAAGAGTGTGACAACAGAATACATGGTTTAAACCTTTTCCCTGTGTAATCCTTCTACTGGACACACTGTGGATAACAACTGTACATTTCTTACAACAGAAGTCCTACAAGTATTTCTTTAAGCTATACACCTACTTGAAGCATAATTTAAGGAAATACAGACAGATGTTTATTGAAAATTGAGCTTTTTTTTTTTTTTGGTTTTTTGAGACAGGGTTTCTCCATGTAGTTTTGGTGCCTGTCCTGGACCTCACTCTGTAGGCCAGGCTGGCCTGGAACTCACAGAGATCCTCCAGGATCTGCCTCCTGAGTGCTGGGATTAAAGGTGTGTGCCACCGCCACCCGGCTGAAAATCAGACATCTTTTTAACTTTTGCTGTTAAAAAAAAACTTAAGGTTTTGTTGTTGTTTGTTTTTTAACCCAAAGTCAAGACCTCATGCACACTAGTAGGCAAATGCTTTCTACCAATAACTACACCCAAAGTCCTAAGTGATGAAGTGATCTTAACCTCATCTCAGTTTAACTATGGATGTTGTTCACATGTGTACATAATCCCCTGTGAGACACACAGGTGGCTCCACCTTGGCCTCTGAGTTTGAACTCATTGGTCCTAGCAGTTTTGAAAAAAAAAAATCTCCTTTCAACAGAACCAGAACAACTCGAGTTTGAGTTCAAGTCTCTGGGTAGTTGAGGAACTGTAGTGGGCTTGAAACAGGCAGGTAGGATTTTATATTTCAAAATGAAAGCAAAAATGGCTACTTTATGGACAAAAGCCTTTTTAATCCTTTGAAAAGGACAGAAAAGTAAATTACACAACAAAAATGTCTTCCTTCATTTTGAGAGAAAACATATGTGTGATATTTTTCTTGCATTATTTCAAATTCTTCCTACTTGTATTTCTTCCTCTAGTCTGACTCCTTCTAGCATTATCTTTATAGTTCCATGCCAAAGGCTTTTTAAAAATTTCATTGCAATTGTGTAAATTCTCTGCTAAAATACCTGTAAGTGACTTCCTATTGTCTCTATAATAGAGTCCCAGAAATTTCACAGATACATGTGGGTCCTCCTGTGTCTCAGACTCCATTCCTGGATCACTGGCCATACTAGAACTTGTAGGTACTTGGCCACATGGCAATTCCTTGCCGTAGTGACCACACTATATTGGAATCTATTGTCACCTCTGCCTGGAACAGGCATCCTGCTGACTCACTGTTTTTTCTTGGGCTAATCCACCCTTCAAACTTAGATCAAAACGTATTTCTTTGAGGCATCGACACCTCCACCAAGAATCTGGTCCTTTTGAGATTATATGCTTGGCCAGGGATGGGTCCACTGACACCTACTATATCATAAGTGCTTTAAGAACCAAACCTTGGGGGTTGGAGAGATGGCTCAGAGGTTAAGAGCACTGACTGTTCTTCCAGAGGTCCTGAGTTCAATTCCCAGCAACCACATGGTGGCTCACAACCATCTAGAATGAGATCTGGTGCCCTCTTCTGGCCTGCAGGCTGAACACTCACTGCATACATAATAAATAAATAAATCTTAAAAAAAAAAAAAAAAAAAAAAAAAAAAGAACCAAACCTTTTGCCTTGACCAAGGTTCCTACCACAGGTGGGTACCTATTAAGTATACTTATTGTAAATATGACTGCTATTTTAGATATTTAAGTATTTGATAGAAAACCAAAATGTAAAGCTCATTATAGAGGCTTCATGTTTCATTATACTAAAAATGTCATTTAATTATTTAAACTATTAGAAGTATGAATTCTTAATCAGGTGTCATAATGCAGAAGCCATGACCTGGAAATTAATTGTGGCCAAAGATGCAACATCTATGAAATGGTTACTGATTTTTTTCCAGTTAGCTCAGAAGATCAAACAACTAATATGAAAATTCTTATATCACTGTAATTTTTATATTCCTATCTCAGTTTCATAATTTCATTAATGATAACAACTAAGATCATGAGTTTTTAAACAAAGCAACAACAAACCTCCTGTTACAATAAATGAGTGAAGATTAAAAAACTAGATTCAGTAGGATAAGGGTCATCTAACTACAAATTAGAAGTAGTAAGATTATCATTATAAATAGAGTAATAAATAAAACTATCAAACCACTACTCTCTAGGAGGCTTAAAAGTAATAGGTACCCAGTATACAATATTGACTACTAATTGAATATTCTTTCTTAATTGAACTATTAGATGTATCATGTATCCTACACAGAAATATGTATGCATATAGAACATCTGGCATGTATTTTCTTGTTAATTTTACTTCCAAGTAAGTAACTACTTATCTATGGATAGAACATACCATCTATGGCCCGAATGTCTATATTCTTAGTTCTTATGGAAAAAAAAACCCTAAACTCATCAATATACTTGGAATTCCATCTTTCTCTAGCAGAATATACAAAACTGGGGCCTTTCTTGGGGTTCAAGTTAAGATAAATATATACCCCATTTTTGAAAGCTCTTGTGATTAAAATTCTATAATATTAAATATTTTCTCATAAACTGGTAAGAAAAAATATTTTGTTCATTAGCAACCCTCCCTGTTGGGTGGAGAGGATATAGTCACCATAGCAACGATGATAAACTTCCCCTCCACCCTTAAGTGTTTGCTGTGTGGACAAGAGGAAGGCCTTTCCTCTCAGCTTGAAACTCCTCACCACTGTGCGCGACTCCAGGTATTCCGGGATGGTGGTGCTGGGGGAAAGTGCTCAATCTTGGGGAAGAATCCTGTGGAGATGTAGAGCTAAATAGTGGTTTCTCGGGCTTCTTCATTGTAGTTGGAGAAGACATATCTGCAAAGAAAAAAGGGACAAGTTCAAGCTGCCTGGCCTTCTCAAGCAATGAGGTTCATGTCAACATAACAGCTCGTTTCCCAATTCTTTTGCTCTCACCCATTTAGAAAAAAATCTATATACAAGGTCAAAGACCCAGCCAGGCTAGAGCTGTAAAACATCTTTTAGAAACTTGCTCTGCGGAAGCTAACCCAAAGCATCATTAAAGAAACCCAGAACTGAAAACCCTCAGGCTGTAGACTTGAAGGCCTTCTGTAGCCCAGTACTGACTGACTTCTTTGATTTCCATGATTCAGGGCTATCTTTTGACCTGATGGCTACATTGTGGAAAAAACTAGGGCATGACAGGTGCTAGTATACGAAAACAATCCCTGACTTAACATCTTTTACAGAAAACTTACTTTCTTGTTTAGCAAAAAAATAATAATAATAATACATTCCTTAACCTGCTCATTCTACAAATATTTATCAGGTTCCTCTATTTTCCTAATAAATATGGATATTAAGATAAGTAAAAAGTAATTCCTGACAGGGACATTTGCTGTTAGCAAAGAGGAAAATGCTGTGGAAAAGGCTGTCACCAGTGGAGAGGAAGTGCATGGGCTAAGAGCAGAGACACTGTGGCATTTGCTCTTATATTCCCAGCCTTTGTAGGCAGAGCGCTGCTCTCCTCTGCCTGACCAGGTTTAGGAAGGAAGCCCCCATGTTAGTGCCATTTTAAAAATGTACATGGGGATAAGAGGTGAACAAAAAAAGTATTCCAAAGTGGTGGGACAGCAGAAAATACTTAAGTAGTTCAAGTGATCTATGAAGATGGGAGGTAGGCACCGGGAAGGACACATGGCTGCAAATCTGGGTTTGAAGTACTCATGTCTGAAGGTTACATGGGGGGCAACATATAACCAGAGACAGTTTAGATGGAGCATACCCTCCAGAAATTAAGTCAAGGGTAGAATATCTACAGTGGACTCATGACGGAGGCCCACTTAAAAAGACACATGATTCATGATTAATATATTCATTTCACAAGTAGGTATTAGAGGCCTAATTTATGCCTGAAATGACCCAGTGTCTGGGGATACAACTGAGAACTGGATTTACTCCCTGCTTTTATAAGCTAAACATCTAGTGAGGGGATATAAAGAAGTAAAAAGGAATTATAAAATACTGTAAACCAAGCCATGAAAGAAGTGTTCACGGTTTTATCCATGTACTCCGTAAATACTAAACATTACCAAAATATAGACGGTGCAAGATGGAAATAAAAGTGGGACAGCCTAATGCAACGGATAAGTGAACAGAATCGAAGCAGCTGAATTAATGATGGTTGTGAAAGGTCATCATCTCGAGTCACTATGGGATTGCATTGTATCACGCAACATGTCTGACCAGAATATCCAGCAGGCACCTCTGATTGGTTAGGAAGATGACTCAGATTTAACATCTCAAGTAATGCTCATTTTTATGGAGGCTTATAAATTTATATTAAAATGCTCTAACAATAACACAACCTATAAAATTTGTATTTTATCATCAAAAATTTTAACTGTGTGCACAGTAGACAGAATAATAATGGATTTCTTATACCCAGCAGCCAACTTCAGCCATTATCCACTCAGAATCTCACTCACATTTCCGTTCCCTGCATTACTTTTGAAGCAAATTTACTGTCATATAATTTCACCTCTAATTTTTCTGTATGCATATTTAGAAGAAAAGAACTCTATCTGTTAAAAGAAAACCCACTAAAACTTTAGTATGACATTAAAAAATATGACCTGTATTTTTATTCACAATGTTCTGAAATAAGAAAAGGCTTCCCAGTGTCATTAATGTGAGAGACTAGTGGCCATTTTTTTTTTTTTCACCATTTGAAAAATCACCTGAGTTCTGGTAAAGGCATCCAATAAAATTGAGTATGTGTTTTGAGCATGCTGGCACTTAAGGAAGAGACATGCTCCTGGAGGCAATGGACAGCAGAAGGCAAAAACCACACTTCTGACAAATGGGTGGCCACTGATCTATTAGACTTCAGTTTTTTATACAGTTCTCAAAGAGAGAAAAAGAAAAAAAAGTTGTTCATGAAGGCTACCACAAAGGGGTGAGGGGCAGAATTTAAATGCAAGGTTAAAAAAAAAAAAAAGGAAATAGAAGCTCATTTCAGCTTAAGTTTATCTTCAAAATATCCAAGACAATACTGAGCTTCACCCAAGAACTACCTGACATTGAGAGGAATGATTCAGTACTGGGTTTTGCCTACTGAAAGCTGAACTGAGACATACAAATTGTTAGAAGAGAAGGAGCCTCCTTTTCGCTCCTTATGATAGATAATACAATGTTTCCATTTCAAAGCGTTTTAAACTTTTTAAAAAGACTGACTTTTGCCGGGCAGTAATGGCACACGCCTTTAAACCCAGCACTTGGGAGGCAGAGGCAGGAGGATCTCTGTGAGTTCGAGGCCAGCCTGGTCTACAGAATGAGTTTCAGGACAGCCAGGACTGTTACACTGAGAAACTCTGTCTCAAAAAACAAACAAACAAAACAAAAGCTTGACTTTTTTAATGTGTGTGAGCATTTTGCCTGCACGTATGTATGTATCACATGTATTCTAGTGGACTGTCAGGTCAGGGGATGGCACCGGGTCCCTGAAAACTGGAGTTACAGAGAGCAGCAAGCACGATGTGAGTGGGGAAACGAATCTGGGTCCTCTGCAAGAGCAACGAGTAAGCTTAACAGCTGAGCCATCGCTCCAGTCCCCACTTCAAATGTTTAATGAGTGGTGGTTTAAAAAAGACAGTAACTGGCAGGGCAGCGGTGGTGCACGTCTTTAATCCCAGCACTCGGGAGGTAGAGCCAGGAGGATCCAGGCCAGCCTGGTCTACAGAGTGAGATCCAGGACAGGCACCAAAACTACACAGAGAAACCCTGTCTCAATAAACCAAAAAATAAAAATAAAAAAATAAAAAATAAAAAGACAGTAACTTATTAGTGACTCTTACATTTACTTCTGTCTACAAGTAAATTTAAAACAAAAAAAAATCAAAGAACTGGAGCTATGTAAATTGGGTTTTCCAAATCTTCCTACAATGGGTGGTAAAGTGCCACACAAGCCATGGAAAAAGGTGACATTCACAGCACACTCGGAAGCAGAGCAGAGTCATGCTGGCTGCATCACTTCCAAAGAACAAGAGCCTAAAAAACTACAACCATCAGAATGCTCACCAAACAGAGCCAAACTCACAGGAGTCGCTTTTCATGAAGGAACAAGTCAAATATCATTCGTATTAAAGCTTAAGATTATGAGTGATTTTGTCATTTTTCACTTATATAATTTAAACTTTTTCTTAGACAAAATAGTGCCCTTAGCTTTTGTGAGTAGTTGTTAGATGTCTACTTTGGGGCGGGAGTAGCGGGGCCGGGGGTCTTTTAGACACGTGTCTAATGATAGCAGTCTTTTCATATGAAGAACACGGGATTTCAGTGGAGACACAGCAGGAACAGAGTGGTAAGGGCTGCCCACAAGGTAACAAAAACTATAAGCTATCTTCTGTTTAACCACAAAATAGCTCAATAAAAACAAGAGTGAGAAACTGCACCTGACACTTTCTTGACTTTAGAAAGAACAGGAGAGTATTAGAATGGAGCTTCATTTCTTCATCTTCCCATTAAGTGAAATTAATTCTGGGCCCATTAATCAATAAAGAAATACTGCTGTGTGGCATGGGAAGGGCACTATGCTGAGCACTAAGAGTCACAAAAGTGAATTCCTCTCAAAGGAAAACACAACTCTGTGGGCTGAGGGGAAATAAAAAGGCAATTATGCGGGGAAATCAGGGCTGAGTTTCTAGACATTACATTTTAACCCCGAATCTAACTTGTATTGTTTTGGTTTTAATTTTATTTTGAAAGTCTGTAGTCTAATAGACTTCCAACCTAAGAATGACATCATTTCTATTTTTAATGCACTCATATACCATATGAAAATGTTTGGGGACTGAAAATATGAAAGAGATGGCTTTGAGTGGCCTTTTTGTCAAGAAAAACAAATGCTGAGCATTTTGCAACCTACTGCTCCTCAAGAGTGAAGAATAATACATAAAAAGATTAAATTGAAAATTAGTTGAATGACAAAGCTGGGCAATGTATAAATATATAATAAGTTGAATGATAATACATACATAATAAAGGGTAAGTTGAATAATGCATAAGATAAAGCCACTGAAGAGAAAGAAAGACAGTGAGACAAGAAGTAGCTGGTAGTTCTTCTGGAAGAAGAGGGCAGGGATAGCTCATGACTGGTGAGAAAGAAGCAAAAGTCAGGAAGTCCTTAACATCAGTACAAGATGTAAGTCTTCTTTATGAAGAAGTCATTCATAAATGAAATTACTTCACGTTGGAAAACTCTCCCAAAGGATGACCGTCTGTAGTTGGAAGTTTCTATCCTTTTCCAGTTTATATATATTTTTTCATTTATTTAATTGGCTTGTATAGAAAGGGTCTTGTTACGTAGTCCAGACTGGTCTGAATCAAGAATTTTAACAGTGTATTTGAGGCGTCAAGGGAATGTACTTCTATCCTTCTGCCTCCTAGTGTGTGGTGTTTTCCCCACTTATTAGATTGGGCTTCCCTAATCTTTTATTGTACTTACACAATGCTTGTCCAGTTGAACATACTTAGGCAAACCATAATTCCACAGGGGAAACTTTTGTGGTCTACGGCTAGCAATATGTCTCAGTAGGCACAGGCACCTGTCCCAAGCTTGGTGATCTGAATCTGAGTCCTAGAACTCAGAGTTGGAAAGAACTGGTTTTCCTCTGATCACCACATGCAGGCCAAGGTTTGCACACATACACACAATTTTGTGCATACACACACAACACAATAAATGAGTGAATAAATAAATGTAAGAAATTTTGAGATCTATATTTCATTAGCAATCTTAAACCTTATGTTACTTGATGACTTTTTCATTTTTTCATCTCTTCCACCATATATGTGTG